GAGAGACAGAGATATAGCAGCATTTTATCATTATTATTTTATTTTATTTAAAGAGTCACAGTGTGTTTATTTATAATACTCTTTTAATATCTCTATTTATAATTTAGTATATCGCTTCGCAAATTTCTCGATATTAATCCTGAGATGTAATTTTCCCATCAAATTAATGTCAACTTTCTTAGGCTTATTTGTAGAATATTCTATAGTTATAGAACATCGCCATTTCTTTTATTGATGATCTTTGATCAACTGTGATTTGAGATATTTTTAATAAAAATTTGCTTGGCGAAAGCGCCGTTCTTTTCGCAAACTATTAACATCCTACGTTTAACTATTTTTATTTATTTAAATTTTATATTGTGATAACAAACTCGAAATTATTTAAAGAATAATCTGCTATCGCATATTTTTATGACGTTTAGTAATGAATTTGTTTCGAGATATAAATGTTTTCAGCAAAGAAGTATATATCATTATCTAAATTTATTGTCATTATCTATATTATACAATACGAGGAAATCTGATAATAATCGACAGACTGTTTTTAGCGACAAGTGGGCGCCGTATTAAAGATCTAATATAATCCGAAGACGAATGCGGGACAACATAATACACAAGTTTCATTACGTATGACGTCACTACTCATTGTGACAAATAATGACTTCTATTGCCATTTTTGTTAAGAAGGATCGATTTCCAATTTTATAAGAGTAAATTCATTAACTCTCTTTCGATGGATTTGATATTTTAACGCGATAATTCCCCATAGAGAAAATTCCTTTTTCGAGCATCGCGAATACAATTAAAAATCTCATAATTATTAAAAAGAAAAAGTAGTTAAGCTCGGATACACTTTATATACGTACGAAAGTCAATAGCCGAGGGTTTCGAATGAATACGCGGCTGGCTCGCGTTGCGCACCCGGACGTAACCTCGTGGCATTTCTCGCTGTGCACTCTCGTATACTTTGAGCACCATGACATAGATACTCGCCGAAGGGCGCGCTTGGCGATGCACTCGTTGGAAATACGCGCGATGCATGCGAGAGGCATGAAAACATTTTTCACGTTTACTGACCTTTGAGCTCGCGGTACATTTTGGGGGTCAAAGTGTGACATTGTGAAACATCGGGTTTTCACAGCGTTAGAATACAAAGGGAGAAGCGATGTTACTTATTATTCCGGATTATATTTATCAAAGATATACGATAATTAATATGCAATTTGTATATTTGGACACATATTTATTTAATTACATTTTTTTCCGAGCATTTTTATATAGAAATAAATATAACAGTTTAGAGAAAAATTTATGTATTGTTTTTAAAATTTTTATTACTGTCAAAGATTATGATACAAATAAAACAATCAAAGTCAAAGATTATAATACAAATTATTATATGGACTGTTTAAATAAATTAAAAACTTTATAAGAAAGATTGTATGCGCAGAAAGTGAAAATTTTGGATAAATTTACTATAAAGTTTATTCATTCGAAGAAATAATACAGAAAAAAATATTTTTCTCATATTTTTTAAAATCATATATATATAAGTATGACATATAAAATCCTTACAACTAAAAGATATATTCCATTGACATTTTGTTATCAAAAGATCTATATTAATCAAACTCATAAAAATGATATAATGTTTACAATTATTTTGA